GTCACAGCAGGAGGCATGGCATGCCCTGACTTCGTCCTGTCAGTATGCGCCAATAATTCAACGTGCTTCCATGAGAAGTTCTTGATTCTCTGCAAGTTTCTTTACAGGGTCCAGCAAGAACATCATCTGCACAGCTTGTTCGGATTCAGTGAGCTCGAGAACCAAGGTCTGGCTTACTCAGCCTTCTTTCGAGCAGTCCGGAAGGAATCCTGCAGGCTGGGGCTGGTTGTTGTTTGTTCTGTTCGCGGTGCTCATGACTCATGACTCATGACCAAGGCCGCTTCAGCCGTGGCATTAATTTCTTGCTGGGGCCCTGTCTGTTACTTTTCTTCCGCTGTGGCACATCCTTCCACATCATTCCGATGAACTCGCAGGCAACAACACTTTGAGAACACGCTTGATCGAGGCATTGGGAACACGTTTCTGAACATTGTAATGGGATGTAATGGGATGTAATGGCATTGTAATGGGTTTCTGAGCCATTTTTTCGCCAGCGCCGCTGGTTTCGCAGGTCGGTGCTTTGGTTGCGTTGAAACAATTGCTGAGTCATGATGACAGCGCTGTCGTGGAGCAGGCCGTCTTGCTCAGTAGGCTTGATTCCACTCGCTGAGGCACTTGCTACAGACAACTAGAATATCAAGAGTCTTTTTCCCATTGGCCATTGTTTGTTGTTCAAAGGTAAGGGGGCGTTGTGGCACGTCCCAAAACTGGTTGAAGCGTGACGGTTCTTCTTAAAATGAAGTTATGCACGAGGCCTTAGAAGCTACAGCTGCTCTTGTCACCCTCGACCGGGGTGACCCCAAGGCATTGGAGGTTTGCAGGGTGAATGGATTGGATCAAAGAAACGTATGGAGAAGCAGAGGCATTGAAGAAAGTGACGATGAAAAGGTTTACAGCATTCAATTTAAAATAAATCTAGAGCTTAAGTTTTCCTAAAAGTCTAGAAAGCCAAATCATTAGTGCGAGTGTGAGCTATCCTGCGTCCTAGGTAGTAGCTTCCTGTAACTACTAGCTACCTCTCCCTTACTTAATAGGTAGGCACCCACTGAATTAAGTAGGGAGGGGGCGAGCGGGCTAAAAGAATAAAGATCAGAACCATCTAGGTGGAAAGCATTCATTTGGTTCTGCAAGCCTGGGCAGGAGGGCGAACCCGTTTTTGAACCCACTGTGGATATGGAGGAGATGCTCTGCGGTGCGCCATTGATCATTTCTTGCCTACGTTTGTCCTGTGTAGAACCATTCTTTTGCAGGTGAAGTCTCCTTGGTGGTTCATCAATTGCAAGGCCAACTCCCAAAAGCTCAATCACAACCCTTGATGCTTGATGTGTCGCATGCAGGTGCCACAGAAGAGATTCGATGCGCCGCAAGCCATGTGGTCTTTAAACTTGCAGCACGGGGTGACATTGAGGCAGACGAGCAAGAAATCACCTGAGTCAACTGGGTGTTGTGTTTGCAGCGATGCCTGTTTGCAGATGCCTCTGCGTGCGGCTGAGCCACTGCCGGCTTTGGTGTCCTTGATCAGGGTCCTTTCCTCAATGCATCCAATGGTAACCCGGTTTGGTTGCGCTTTGGGAGTTTGGTTTACATACTCTCCGTCCAAAATCCAGAGTTCTAAATGGGCCTGTTGAAGTACGCCAAACGTGTACTATTACTATCACTCGATAACGTTGCCGAACTTGCATATCAACAATACCGTGCTAAAATAGACCTCTCGCAGCAGTGTTTGACTTTCTCGGAATAGCAAGGGAACACTCCAAACAATTACAAAAAGTAACTAGAGCCTGCTATAAATTTATACATATGTATACACACCCATATCCACCCATCATGATGATCAGCAAGCTTAACAAAGTCTTTTGGGTGTCCATCATTTGAACGAGCCGCACAGTCAAAGACCCTATGGTGACATTGTGATTTGATAGAGAAGTTTTGTCAATTTATATAGAGGAAGACGCAGTGTCCGTTCTGCTGATTGTTGGTAGTGGTCCTTCGAGTCGATGTTCCATTTTCTGCACAAGCCATGGAGGAATGTTTGTCAAGCAATTGAGCATCTCATCCCTCCTTTTGGAATCCTAGCAGTCCTAGCAGTCCTAGCAGTTAAGGAGTCACTCGAAGGAATCTGAATGAGTTCAGTTATGAGTTGTCACCGATGTCACCATCACTTCCCATAAGTTTGGCCTTGCAAATGCTCCCGCCTGTGCCTTTGCCAAGGGTGGCACAGCCAGGACCAGAGCTTGGGCTGCCAGTGCGTTGAGGAGGGGTCTGTGGATGGAGATGAGGATCCAGATGATGTGGGTAGTTGTTCTTTGACCCTTCTAGTATACAATGGTATGTTGATGTTTGGCAGATGTTGATCTATTGTCTATTGTTGATTGGCGTTGTATGGTACGGGACAGTGTTTCTAAATTCCAAGAGCTTCTACTTGATGGTCACGAGGGCGTGGCAATACGGTTCTCGTTCCAAAAGATGATCCAATGCGTGTCATGATCGAACCTTGTGTTAATTGGCAGCAGGCCACTGCTATCCCCTTTTGATTAGGGTCTCAATACCCATTGTCGGAATTGCCACCACTGGGAGGAAGACCCAACCCCGTTTTGAGAGTACCATGGCACAGGCCTTGATTTTATGACCGATAGCAGCATGCTCTCTTTTCTTCGGCAAAGGTGGTTTCACTTTGGCAGCTTTTGGAGCTGTTCGTTCAGGATTTCACCTGGAGGTGTATTGTTTCAAAGGGACCTTTTTGGTCAGCTAGACTCAGCTAGACCATGCCATCAAGGCTTTGAAGGGAAGCGCGACATGTTGCAGGTTACTGAGCACGACATCAGAAGCAAGAGAGACAGTCACACAAGCCGCCCACTCCTGAGACCGATGAGGTGAAGATGTTGCATGGTTGTTCCATGGTGGTGTGTGTAGCCTCCAGCGCATGTGTCGGTCGCCTTCAGGTGCCGATGGAAGCAGAAGGCAGAGAAAAGCTTCTTGCGCAGATCCGTGCACTTTGCTTCTGAAAACCTTGGGCAGCCTTCCATCACACATTCCCTCCAAAGGAGGTGCTACCTTCACACAAAGTGTGATTGTCACAGTGTGTGATCAGTCGGGCATTTTAAGCGTTAAGCTGCTTCAATAGCTCCTGTATAGACGAGTTTTGTGCTGGCCAAGGGTTAAACCAAAGCCCTGTCAATCTTCGGCCTTCGTGACAAGCATAGGCCATGACTTCAACCCTGAACAAGATTCAGGATAGCAAGCGTTGGAAAGGTCAGCCTACCTTGAGTTCTTTATGTCGGTCAGCCTGGCCGGCCGGCCATCACCTCTATCGAACTGCTGAATTAACGTTGAATCCTTTCATTTGTGATAGCAGACTAGCGCAGCTTTGTCAGCTCAAGCTGGCGCACGCATAGATCATCATTGTTTCCACGGCTGTGGCCGGAGGCAGCGCAGGCTCGTTTCCGGAAATCGGCAGATGTGGGGAGAATTGGCCGCCCGAGCCTTCTTGCATAAGCTGGTGTCCAATTATATTTATATGTAAATTATATATATGTATAGACTTGTTGCTTAATCAAAGGACTCTGATAAAATGTGTAAAATGTAAATTGAGTAGTTAAGTTAAAGGAGAGTTAGGTTAAAGACCTCATGCCCTGAAGTATCATGTGTGGTGCTGGGTCACCGATTGGGTCCCGGATTCTCCGTGCATCACCACGTCAGCCTTTGGCTTTGGGCAGTTCTCTCTCCTGGTGCAGTTGGCGGCAAGTTTGCTCCTGCCGACATGCCTTTCAAGCGGCCTGTTTGGAGTCTACTTTCAGCTGTCCTTCTACTCGTTACAAGCACCACTCGTTGCCTGGGATGTGACAAGTAGATAAACTTCGCACCTTGGCCGAGCACGCCCTAACTGGTTTTGCAGTTGACTGCACAATGGACATCAATGGACCAGTTGAGCAGCATTAAGGAGACAAGCTTTCAGATCACCTACACTTCTGCTTGCCATGTGGATTCCGCGCTTCTCGAGCCATCGTAAGAAAGTTTTGGGTCGCTGAGTCTTGGGGCCACTCTTGCAAAGCGCAGATGTCTCCCTGATGCTTGCCTTATTCCTTGTTAGTGGATGAGGGGTATTTGTCCCTGCGAGAGCATTCGATGTTGTTTCTTGGCTTATCAGGTTGTTTGTTTCTCTTTGTTATCTCTTTCTCTTGTTCTGTTGCTTTCCCTGTATCTGTTTTTGATCTGTCTCTGTCTCTGCCTCCCAAACTCTAACTCCTCTTTCCCTCCCTCCCTCCCTCCATCCCTCCCTCCCTCCCTCCCTCCCTCTCTCTCTCTCTCTCTTTCTCTCTCTCTCTCTTTCTCTCTCTCTCTCTCCCTCTCCCTCTCCCTCTCCCTCTCCCTCTCCCTCTCGCTCTCGCTCTCGCTCTCGCTCTCGCTCCCGCTCTCGCTCTCGCTCTCGCTCTCGCTCTCGCTCTCGCTCTCGCTCTCTCTCTCTCTCTCCCTCTCCCCGCTCTTTGTTTTTCTGTCTCATCCTCCTCTCTCCTTTGCCCTTCTAGGGAGTTTTTCGTAATCTCTTTCTTTTTTCTATCTTTTCTCTTGTCTCTTCTTTACTTTGGCGGAGGCCTTTCTGTTCCTCTTTTGTTATGCAAGCACCCTTGTTGGATTAATTGAAAGTCTGTGGACAAGACCGTGAACATGTCAGGATTCTGTGTTGCAGCCCAGCTTGGGAGTCGTGTTGCAAACCTGATGCTCACTTGTGAGCATCATGTGGCTGGGATGCCAACTTCACGATCCAAAGCCAACAGAAGAGGGTTTATGTCTCTGCTGCAAGCCAGGCCAAGCCGATGTTGCGGAATGACGGGGTGGAGGTCTGTAAACGAGTTGTGTTTTGTGCACCTTTGAATCAACCTCGACAGACATTGGAATGGGAGGAGTTGCGAGACGTGGCAAGACGTGGTTTTTTCTTGGTGCTGCATTTGGCTCAAGACGGCGCTGCCATGTTTTGAGCCTTGTTACCGAAGAGCACTTTCATGGCGGACAAGCCTGCAGGCCCCTTGTTGTGTACTGGTTCATTGTATGCAATTTCGGGGGGCGCGTAGGAACTGATCCAACATAGGCCTTCTCCGACCTCGTGTGCTAGTCAAGCTGCGAACTCTGGAACAGTTCCAAGGTTTACTCTTTGTTTCCAACATAGGCCCTTTCTTGCCAAGTTTTATGGTGGACGTACTGTCATGCACTCTCATGACTCAAAAGGTTTGGCAATGAAACCAGATTCAGAGGTTTCAAGAGAAGAAAGACAGTTTCGCAAATTCTCAAAACAACACTCTCGCAAAGAGTCAGGAACCGGTCAAAACGAACTCTCATACGAGACTTCACGAAAAGTGGCAAATGCCAGTTCTCAATGTCAGTGCTTTTCCACTTAAAGCATCAAAAGGAGTACTTTTTGCAAAGTGTATGAGGACATCATTTTCCACACGAAAGCGCGAGATGATCTTCCTCTGGCCTTGTTTTCATCATGTACTTTTAACTTGTATTTTGCATAGAGCTGGTTTCACCTTTTTGCAGTGCAGGTAGCTCTGTGACCTTCAATGTTAGGGCAGAGACCAGCTTCGGTGACAGACTCTTGCCGCCTGTCTTCAAAGTTTTTGGGAGCGATTTGGTGTTCGACTCCGGCTTCGAGCAAGGCTCGTTGGCAGCGACGACGCTCTGGGACGGTGGAATCTGGATGAGTCCGTGGAGCTCACGACGACCGAGAAGGACTGAAAACGGAGGAACTCTTGGCTTCTTGCCGTAGCGTCCGATCGCTCCTAGTAGCGATGCCAGGAGCCCCTAGTAGCTTCTTGCTACTAGTAGTACTACCAGGATCGCCCCGAGCAGCTTCTTGCTCCTAGTAGCGATGTCCTTTGTTCCTGGTAGCTTCTTGCTGCGAGGGGTTTTCATTTGCCCCAGTTGCCACGGGGTTTGGAAAGTGGACGACAGGACTACCCTCTATGGATGTCGAAGTCGATCGAGGTTCTGGAGCCGACGGAATACAAGTATGCGACTTGGTTTGGTCCTGGGATTACTTGCTGCATGGATTCCGTATGGCCAGCTTTTTAGCAAATCTTCCCTCTCACAAACCCATTTGGTGAACGACTCCGACATGGAAAAAACTCGGCCATCCACCCCACCCCACATGTTGACTCATTTAACAACGTTCTTGTTCTTGCGACTTGTGTCTTTGACCTTTCCAAAAGTGTGATCTTTGAGCTTTGTCATTTAATCTTTTCGCCCTTTCGCTCACACCTTGCATTTGTCTTTCAACAGGTGCGCATGCGAGGAGATGGTGAAGCGGTTTGGGACTCTTGTCAGAAGATGGGACAGTGCTGTGTGGGCAGAAGATAGAATCATATGTAAATATATTTGTATACACATATATATATATACATACACATACATGGCTTGCAAATTAGGCAGATTGAAGGAGTCTTTGCACCAAATCATTGCTATGCAGGAAAGGTTTCAATGTTGCACTTCCTGAACTGAAGGAGTTTGATGGTGGGAATCGATGCATTTCTCCTGCGGACTTGAGCACAGCCTCTGTCGTTGTAGACGACGGCTTCTTTGGTTACGCATCTGCAATCAGCCCCTGCAAAAGATATTTTTCTGTATTGGTTGGCCTACCGGAGGTATCTTACTGGGATGCAGAAGAGCTTGTGCTGCAAGAAAGGGTTGTCGCTTCAAGAGCTGCTAGGTCACCTGAGCACCTGCAACGTTCTTCTGGAAGCCTCCTTTTGCATGGAGATTTTTCTTCTCCTTACCAGACATGAGGTGAGTTGATTGGAGAGCACTTTTCCTAGCCTCAGGCCGGTGTGTAGGGGCATAGAAATACTTGTTCAGCTTTTACTTGAACACGGCAAGGCGTTTTCCGAGACGACCCTCCGTGGATCCAGCTTCAACTGTGAAGCTTCCACAGGTGCTTTGCAGTTGCTCAGCCAAAAGAATTCATAGTTGCAAGGCCCACACACACACACACTCACACACGGTTCAAGATACTGTAGCCCTCTTGTTTGTATATATAGAGGCATCAGTAGTGATTCCACAACCTACTTGATCCTCTTAGCCCTTGGCCTTTACTGGCAACATTCGCCACTTTGCAACTTTCTCACCTTGTTTGTACGATCTGTGATCTGAGCCACATTTAGCTTCCATCGACTAGACTAGTCTTCCTCCTCACATACGCACAAATTGAACAAGGAGAGGGGACAAGCCTTCAACTTTTGACGATACACACCTACAGAGAAAAGGAGTTGAGCTTCCTATGTCCACCCCGGATGCTTTCTTTGCACTTGTATGCATCCAGATGGCCCCTCGTCTCACCACAAGCGATGCCTGTGTTGCCGTTGGCTCTCCCTCGCTGCCAGCCTAGGCTGGTCGTGGTCGGTGATGATGCAGCAGCTGGTCATGGAGCAGATGGCTACAATGGCTGGGCTGCGCAGCTGGGAACATTGCTGAATCAACAGTACGGAGCTGCTCTCAGTCTCATTCTGTTGCATGTTCTTCTTAGCCTTATACCTTCAACGGAGGATTGCCCCACCAAGGATATGGCTTCAAAAATATGTCTGAAATTGGATTGACGTTGCAGGCCTCCCAAGAATCCTTGCAATCATGGATGCAGTATCAAGTGCAATTGCAGCCAGTCTCAGTGCAGATGCCAGTGCAGATGCTCAGAGTTGTATGGTGCGCTTAACTTAAGCCGCTGAACCACCTATTCCAGTGTGCTGATTGTCTGCCCTACTTGGTATAAATTTGTACAGGCAGGCAGGTACTTTTTGTCGTTGTCGTCACAACATCAGCCACCGCGGCAGCCACGACTTTCAACAGCAACACGGGGATGGGGCACTGCCCCAATGACTTGGGAAGTGACTTCAACAATCTTCAACAATGCCCCTCAGCAGTTCACGAACGCATTTGCATAAGGCCTTCCAGGCACCCTGATTTGCGCATGTCTTGAACTTAATTTGCGAGTCCTCGCTGTGAGAGGATTTTCCCTGCCATCCAGTACAGATGACAGACTTAGCATAGCACAGTTGGCCACTGGATGTCCCATCTGAAATGTCGGAGAACCCTGTGATCCCGACAAAGCAGCACTTCCACCGTTGCAAACCAGCAAATGCCTTCTTTGTAGCTGGCCGCTGGGCCGCTGGGCATCCTATAGGATGCGTCGCTGTCAAAGCAAAGTGGGAATCGTAGAAGGGAGCCGGATGCCCAAGTACTCTGACTGACGGCAATCATTTGTTCTTGGACCAATTGCTGGATCCCCAAATTGTCAGCTCGCGGCCAATTGAGTCACCATTATTGAGCATGTGAAATGTGCGCATGGTGGCTAGCGCGCACTGGCAGGCGCTAACAACACCGCAGAACTTTGAGGGTTAGATGTAAAACATTTATTTTCATGAGCCTCAAGCCTTCCGCTTTGTGGAGGAAGCATCGAAGAGGGGCCTTGCGAGCATGCTTCCGAAACCACTTCCAGAGGTGCGGATTGATTATTTTCTGCGTGCGTTGGGTTTCTTTACTCACGTGTTAGTTATGAATGACGCAGAGCCGCTGACATTTTGCCGATAGGTTGTAATCATTTCTTTTGGCTTAGAGCTGCGCTGGCTGGCCAAATGCCCTGAGACTTTGGCCAAAATGATGCCAAGTATGAAAGTATGAAAACACATGGTCCGAAGTTGGACGCTTGCTTGTTTTCTTCTCGGATGCTTTGAGGATTGGGACAGGGAGACAATTTATGACAACACCATCAAGGCAATGTGCAGAGGCCGAATGCAAACAGACAGCCCAATATGTTTTTGCGAGGCCTACACTGCCTTGGCTGCAGAAGCTTGGGACCTTGCAATCATGCCAATCTTTGGTGGCTTGTGCCCTCACAACGACTTCGCAAAGGTGCAGGACGCTTGCTCGCCAGTTTGAACAAAGCCAAATTTCAGCTTGGGAATCAAAGGCATTACAAAGCTGATTGATTTGATTGATGCCTTGTTCCGCCAGGTTCTGCTGTTCGGAGGGTTTTTGCTGTTCGGGTTCTGCTGTATGCTGTGGTGTTGCTGCTGTGGCGTTGGGGGGATGCTTGTAGGTGTTTGCTCGGGCGACTAATGTCGATTGCGGCAGTGATTTTCGATTGAAGATGTCAGCCAGTTGGGTTCTGGATCCAGATCTCAAACTCACAGTGTGCAATATGCATTCTCTTGAATCCTCTTTCAACATGTTTACTCATGCTTGACCGTTTTCAAGAACAGGCCGAATTCCTCCGAAGAGCTGATGCAGAGATGAAGAAGCAGGGAATTCCAGTGCTGGACTGGTTGCATGCACTCAGCCCAGGTGGCGACAAATTTGGGACCATCGGCTGCATTGAGCACTGGATAGTAGCTATTTGCTTGAAGGTTGCAGACAGGATGAAAGTTGGGAAAGAGACAGTTTGGTGAGTTGGACGGTTCAACTGGAGCACGGGGGGCCTTTGTAGAATTCAGCTTGCCAAGTAAGTAGAAAGGGGGATGCAGGGTGGAGGGTTGCGTGCCAGTCAATGGGCTTTGCTAGTAACGACAAAGCAAGTCTAGAATCAAAGCAGCGGGTATGAGGCCTGGAGATCGAAACAGCTTTGGCATAGCTTTAGAATGTCAGAGCTGACAAGGCTCAGTGAACTTGCACCTCAAAATGTTTGTGCATATCTTATTGCGCTAATCTTGCCTGCACATCTAATCGTAGAGTTGGCCACAAGAGTGTGTGCTTGGCAAGCCGAATGCGTGTGGGTTCTCTCCCTCAACCTTCACATTCTGGCACACGGGAACGTTGGGCATCCGGGGACCTTGAGCAGCCCGTGGGTCCCGGTAGTCGTCATAGTGCAATTTTGGCTGAAACTCCAGCGCGCTGTGCCGTGTATGTAAAGTCAAAGGCGAATCTTTACCAAGGATTTGGGCAGACAACCTTGCTTACAGCTCACTGTATCCAAGCACTCGTGGACATCAGAGAATGCTGTCGTCAATTGATCTGAGCATTTTTGACCCACTGAAGGCGTGGGCGTTCTTTGAATGCAATCAGATTTGGTGTGGAGGCTTTTGCAAGATTGGGTGTGGAGGTCAAAGACTTGCTCCAGAAGAGACGTGCAGAAGAGGAGGAATTGTGGCGGCTTTGCTTCAAAGATGGAAGGCGTCTTGGACCCAACGTCTTGGGAGACGGCAGTGGGTCATGGCTGAACCGATCCCTCTGTAAGGGATGTCAACCTCCCACCGTTTGGTGGATGAGGTTTTGACTCAAAGCCATATATATATATATAAATATATAAATATATATATATATAAATACACAATACACAATACGCTCACGTCGTGAACGACGCCGTACGGCGTGAACGTATGCCGCGCTGGTGACTGTGAGGGGGCTCGAGATCCACTACTGTTCGGCTCGGAAGGAGTTGAAGGCACCTCGGCTCTGAATTGGGTGTTGGAGTGGCACCTTTTGGGATGGAGGTGCTCCATGGTTTGCCAAAGGTGTCGTGGAATGTTGGAGTCCTGTGCTGACTGGTCAGGTTGACAACCTGACGGAAGATGAGCGTCTTGTCATAGCAAAAGCTTGGCAATGTCATGGAGCTTGTGCACTTAGACATGCACAAAACCGATTGAGGTATGACCTGAATCCTGGATGGAATGAGATGCAAGCGAGCCTGGCTGCTGTATTCAGAGAGGCACCCTGGACACTGAGAAGAGGCCTCCATGTAAGAAAGGAGGAGAGCGCAGCGGGCGCAGCTGCCTTTTCATTGTACATAGGTGAGGCACTGAGTGCTGCGCTACGTTGGCCAACCTGCGCTGCGCTACGTTGACAAACCTACAATTTTCACTGAGGTGAATCGGGGACGATCCAGTCCTGCGCCAAGATTCCGGCCAAGTGCTGCGTGGCTCGGCAGCAAGGTTCAAGAGGAAGTGGGAGATGCAGCTTGTAGCTGGGCGAAGCTATGTAGGCTTTAGACCTTGCATTTTGACTTGCTGTTCCAGACTGTGATTATATATATTTTTTTGTTCCTATCCCTATTCTTCCGGAGACATACGGAGCAAAGGAAAGGGAAGCAACAAGGGAGAATCCAAGAATGCGAAGAAGCAAAGAAGAGAAAGAGCAAATGTGCAAAGAGTTTGCGCATCGCATCTATTCATTTTGAGAAGACATTCCGTTTGCCTTCCGGCCCTCCGCGTTCCTTTTGCCCAGGTGACATATGGACTCCTCGACCCGAAGTTGACCAACTTGCCCAAGGAAAGCAGCGTTCTTTTCCATGACGACAATCTTTTGTTGGTGAAGTCTGCGAGGGGAAACCTGCAAATCTTCAACCGAGCAGCCTGACACTCTGCCAAATCAGATGTAATTATGTAGATTTGTCGAACACACGTATATGTATAACACATAAGTATGTTATTTAAGCGACTTATGGACATGTGGATCAACAAGTGTAGATCCTTGCAAGTTGGAAAAACCAGTAAGCCTGATGCGAGGTGAGTACAATGTTCATCCAATGTGGTTTGACGTGCGGCAAGCAACGAAATCCATGCAGCACGGTGTCTATGAGGATTCCTCAGGAAGCCAGTGGTGCGGGAAATCGAAGGTAGATCATGTTGATTGAAGCTTTCTTGTCAATTTGCGAACTGCAGGACAGCCTTTCCGAACAGCGATCATATCTTGCCATGGCCTACAATCTCGGGTCAAGGTTCCTGCCAGGTCTGCGGTGGATCTCTCCAGAGTGGGTGACCTTCAATCCATCAAGCAGGTGGCTGCATCTTGGATTAACAAATATGATTTCACCCTTTGTATTGTCACTCTACCTGTAAGTATGAGTACATATACCTGTCCTATTGCCTGTGAGGGTCGGTCACACAAGCAAATCACTGTTTGAGAGAAAGGCCTGCAACTGAACCATCATCCACTACTACTAGCAATGACATATACCCAATATATATTTATATGTGTTTCTGTGTACAGTTTCTCTATGGTTTCTGCTTTCGACCATATCCTGACAGCACGAGGTGCTGCCGCTCGGAGATCGATGTTCTGTTCGCCTCTCGGCAACATGATGACCTTTCCGCATGATGTTTGCCTTGTGTTGCAAGAACCAGTGCAAAGCTGCTGTAAAAGCTGCAAAAAAACCTTTGGTGTTTTTGGGAGGAATGCTTCTGCACAAGATTGAGTTCGATGGACCCTGCTATCCCTTTGATCTCACCAGTGCCCTGGCCCTGCTGGCGCCCACGCCCTGCGAACCCCAATCGTTGTCTCACCTTTTTCCTGAGGAACCACCAGCCTGGCAGATGTTGCTGATATGGCAGCAACAGGGTTTGAGGACATGTGGAATCCGGACTACTTGTACTACGACGGCGAAGTTGGCCGAATCTTTCACAGAAAATGGCATGGGCTTTCCTTTGCGCATGAAGTTGAGTATGAGCAGGGAGAGGATCCGGTTGGAAACTTCGCTCCAATCGTGGAACGGATGAGGACCCTTTGTCGAGTCGCACCTAGCAGCAGACTTGGAGAATCAATTCTGGCACAGCATGTAACAAGAAGCTACTAGGGGCTCCTGGCATCGCTACTAGGAGCGATCGGAGCGATCGGACGCTACTAGGGGCTCCTGGCCGTACTGCTAGGAACAAGAGGACGCTACTAGGAACAAGAAGCTACGTCAAAAATACCGCTTTTTGTTGACTTTTTTCGGCCACAGGAAGAGATACACTGGCAGATCTGCCCGCTTCGATTGGGCATGCAAGAATGCTGATAGCGTCCTCTTTGTCCGTACGGGAGTCGCTTCAAGAGCAGAAGTGTGTGATTTACTGCAGCTTGGTTTGTATAATGTTTTCAATAGACGAAGTTCAACAAAGTTGACCGAGTGGCCTTTCATGGTCTTTCGGATTTCGGCCTTTCGGAAACGGCTTTTGAGAGAAAACAAGACCAGTCGGAACGCAGCGATCGTTCATATAAGTTATTGCAGCCATTTTGCATGCCAAATTAGAGGCGGGTGCGGAGGGATATGCTGATTTACTTTCGCTGCAACTGATAATTAGATTGGGGCATACAGTACAGTAGATGATAGCAGATGCTTTTCTAATGTGTCCAAAACGTTTTCCTTTTGGACGTTTACTTCTGCGCTCTTTGCCAGCGTCCAGGTCAAGAATGGAAGAGCGCTTCCCTGAACTTGTTGTGACTTGGTTGTGCTGTAAGTTCTTTGTAGACATTTCAAGGTTTCGTTTTCGCATGTTTTTGCATGATTTGTCCAATCCAGGCCAATCTTCTTCTGATCTCAGAGCAAGAAACTTCTGAGTTCTCGGGCTTGGAAAAGGTCACGCACGTCCGGGAAAGCTTCGATCCGGACAGGACTGCCCGAGGCATACTGTACGCATCAAGCAAGCAGAAGCATCCTGCTTTGGAGCGAAACAACCGCAGGATGTATGAAGATATGAATTACTGGATCAACTGCGCCTTGCTTCATTTGATGGAGCCTTGCAATTGCCCTTAGTGCCCTGTGAGTTGTGGTTGGTTGATATGTGCAGCGGACTATATATATATAATTCCATTCAAATTATATACATGTTTCATAGGTTGAGTTCAACGTCACAGAGACTCCTAGGTGCCCATCGCTTCCGCGGAATTCTAGAACGAGTGGGCATTAGTGCCCGAAATCTCTACTGGTGCCCAAACGACTTGAAGGAGGCAGAGAAGGACCGTTTCATGATGAGCTTTTGCATGCTTCGGAATGCCCCGAAATGCTCCGCACGCCAGGAGCGTAAAGCCTTTGAGACGAAAGATGATGAGAAAGAGACGAAAGAAAAGAAAGAAAAGAAAGAGAAGAAAGAATCGCAAGAGTCAGAAGGCGGCTATACGCCAAATACGCCAATGACATCCACGTCAGTAGCTGAGCAACTTGAGTGTTGTCAAGTTTGGGCCGACAGCCTTTATATAACATGAATTTGTATGCAAAAAGGAGGACACTTTTTTGATGAGGTCAGAGATTGCAAAGTTTTCCCATGCGAACCTCTACGAGCTTCACCAGGTTCAGCAGGCCCAGGTGGGCTTCATGCGAACTCAACACCCGCTGCAACCATGGACCATGGGAGCATGACTCAAAGCATGAGACCATGTCACAGTGAAGTCTCACATTGAAGGTTTGCCTTGAAGCGTTCCAACCTTGGCTTTCTTTCGAAAAAAGACTGTGCGGCCTCGTGTGCAGAACATGCGAGATGCACCGATTTTGTGTTGCCTAAGGCCAATTTCCAGGGAACCCAGACTTGAAGCCTCTTCCTCCGTGCTACCCGTGGTGCTGCCCGAAGCACCACCTATGGCACCACCTGTGGCTTGAGCAGCCTCACTTTTCTAATCTTCCAGAGACCAGGCTCAAAGGCTTCTGGTTTTTGTGAAAATTATCAGGCCAACTCCGTATCCGCTCTTCGCTCGTCGGGGATGCGCTGTGCGGCCCTCCTTCCTATATATAGCCAAGTGTCGAGCTCCACCAGATACATCCGTGACATCCGTGCCAAGCGCCAAGTAGTCTTCAGTTTGTACAGTGTTTTGAAAACAATCTGCGGAGCTTTGACACTTGTATTCGATTGCGCTAGGATAAACATTCTACCGCTCGTAGCTTTAAATTTTGCACGTCCTTTGTTCGGGCAAGGCGTTCCAGCAGAATGAATGATTCAAACCAAGAGTTGATGTTACCCAAGCTTCATGTTTCCTGTGTCTCTTATGGAATGCTTTGATCAGCCGTTCAAGAAGTGAAGGCAATAACAGATGGTGCAGTTTTCAAAGCTTGAGACCCTGTGGAAACCACTGAGCCCTCAAGCTTCAAGATCTTGCAAGGACAAGTACAAGTGTGTGTTTTTTCCCCGAAGGAATGCAAGACCTTCTCTTGTGACGCATGTTGTGGCCAACAACTGTACAGAGGACCAAATGGCAATGCTCGCTCCTGCCGCTTCGGATTAGAGTATACGCAACCAGTTTGGACCCAGAGTACATCTTCAAACAGATTCAACAAGTATATGTATCTTTTGGATCCTACAAGTGGGCCGAAAGGAAATCCTTCTTTGATCTTGACTACAGTCACAGCAGGACTGAAGTGGAGCATGTGATTCAGGAAAGGTAGCCCTAGGCTACCCTCATGATTCTGGCGGCTTTGCGTCCATAAATTTGTTTGGTTCCCTTTATTCTCTTCCACCTTCAGCGTGCCCAGACTTGTTTTGCGAATCTTTTCTGGTGAAGGTGACAGGAGAGGGAATCACCGTGCTTCGAAGAGGAAGATGACGGACACTTGCACCATACATTATTTAGACACTTACGCAAATCCTTACACATATCACACACGCACTGCACCTGCACACAAGCAGAGGCACATGTTCTGCTTTGTGAACTGTTTACAACCAATTCTAAAAGATATCCCCTCCTCCTGGCACACCCACGGACTCTTTCCCCAGTCCCTCATGTAGTGTGCGTCTTTGCATCCAAGCAATGCCTGCACTGGAATTTGCGTGATGTTCAGCAGGCACCTGGCTTAGTACTGGAGCAGGTGACAAATGCAACACCGAACCCAAGAGCAACTGTGGCCTGATGTGGATACCCTTACTTACAGACTTATAGAAATAGTAAGACTTCAAGGAACCTAGTTACTAGCGATGGCCTCCAACCTACTAGCGATGGCCTCCGACCGAATAGTAATTGCCTCCAACCTACTAGCGATGGCCTCCAACCTACGATGGCCTCCAACCTACTAGCGATGGCCTCCAACCTAAGAGCGATGGCCTCCAACCTAATAGCGATGGCCTCCTGAGGTGGATGTATGCACATAGTACCGCGCTTGCGCCAGATTTGCAATGGTCGGGGAATGTCACCCAAACCGGCGCGAGAGCAGCTCGGAGGGAAGGAGCCCTTGCAACCGGCAGAAGAGCCTACAACCTTGGCGTCCTCCATGCAGTGTCTCGTCTCATTGTTCTCAAACTTGCACTGGACGCACTTGCACTGGGGCGGGTGTGCACAATTTGCACGACTTGACATTCAGGCCTATTTTTGAAGGAGGAACCGGTCTGCGAGCACTGTCCGCAGAGGACAGCTGTCTCTGAACATGCAAGATCAAAGGCTCGAGACTCGAGACTCTCGCTTTATGCCACCTTGCTCTCCATGGCATTTTCAGTGCAACCCTTTGGTCAAGATTCTGTGATGTAACAGCGCTGCTGTTGCTGCAAAACTTCAATGCAGGACAAGGCCAGGATCGGCAAACTCATCAAGGCGCAAAGCTTCAAAGACTTAAAACTCAACGTGTCAAATCTTTTGTGTTCACTCCATTGTGCGTCATGACTCAAAGACGGCGTTCCACTGTTCAATCCTAAGTTGTCTGAGAACAACTTCGTAAGACTTCGTCTTAGTTGCCTCTTCAGACTTTGCCAATCTCAAAGTACAACTTCGACTGCAGCCTTTGAAGAACCACAATTTTTTGGCATCCTTTTGTTCTTGCAGCATACTACTTATTTCCTTCAAGCATTAGCCACATGAGCAGGTATCAAACCAGTATAGTAGTAGCCTAGCACTTAGAATATTTACCCTTTCACTTCACCGTTATAAAGAAATAGAGACGGAGGTCCGGGTGAAAAACGATGCAGATAGAATATCCCTATGCAGATAGAATAGTTCAACATGCACATAGAATATTATGCACCAACGGTTTTAGTATCTCTTTTTGAACACCGATTGATTGATGGCTTTATACTCTTGTCTTTCTGTTTGAATTTTTCAGATGCACAGTCGTTCCAACTGGGGAATATTCTAACTGCAAGAATGTAAGACCCAGTGGTTCAAGAAAATCAGGTATTCTAACTGCATACCCTTAATTTCTGAGTATTCTAACTGCTGGCCTTCTACTATAGGTTGAAGACTATCTTTCCACAAGCATCATGGCCACAAACAAATTGCAGCTGGACGTACATTCTGTTTTTCTGAGTCCACTCGGTGTTTACCATGCTCATTACACCGCCAGAGACGTTTGACCTAGCAATCACCACTTTGGCACTTGCAGCTGCTCACTATCCTGCGCTTCACCTTGTAGAAGTACACATGGGCACCCTCAACAGCAATTGCATGCCAAGAGTAAAACTTATGGGCATGGCCCTGAGCAACAGTGAAATCGGCTTGCGGCCTGAGTACGGATATGCAGTGTTCATTTCAACATGCATCATTGACATGGCCACTCGTCTCACCAAGAACCATAGAGTATTGTAGCAATCTTGGCAGTGACAAACAGTAACTTTCACAACATACTGAGAAATCGCACATCATCATTGTGTACCATCATTAGCGTGCAGGTTAACTTTTTTCGGGTGCATGATATGACTTTGTTGTGCACGGATAGTGTATTGATGGCCAGAAGCAACAGTGCAATCCACTTGCAACCCGAATAGGGATACCAGGGATGGCAACATCTATCATTATTGGCACAAGCCACTAGTCTCGACAATGATGTTCGACTGAGCATTCCATCAATCTCCACAGCTACTTGGCACCAGTAATTAAACATGATCATTGAGTACTGGGCTCATGTCTTGCGACTCCCGTGCATCATTGGCATGTTTCTTGATATTTTTGCTTCTTTTGTATGATATCATATCTACATAAATGAAGCACAAGTGGTGGACGCTTTGCTGACACTTCGTTGCGCAGTGAAACGTCCGTTCCATTCTGATGCCCTCGAAGGTGTTGGCCAAAGAAAGGCGTGACAAGGCCACAACACACATTGTTTCCTTTCCATGTTGGGATGCTGTTCATTCTTTGCCTCATTTCGTGGCACTTATGCTGATATTGCTTTCGACTTGTCTTTGCACTTTTTGAGTAATGGGGGCAGGAAGAGCTGCGGGAACAACTTGGACACCAGGCTTGCAGAGTGCAGGCGCAGCACGCAATCTCTGACAAGTGGCTGCAGTTGTTGCGAAGGGCATTTGTGCCTTTGAAAGCTGACCCTCTGACTCAGGACCTTGAAAGAGAGCGTGAAGTTAGCCAGAAGAAAGAGGCTGAACTTGTAGCACGTGCCCAACTTAGCGAAGTTTTCTTCATTTTTCGAAATGCCAATGACTTCAAAATGCTCTGACTTCAGCAGCGTACTCCAAAAGTGCACAACTGCGTGTTGTCAAATTCCTTTCGGCAGGCGTGGCACGCTCCCTCGACCTTTTGCGAACTTACCAGGTGCTTGCGTGAACTTGAGTAATTTGAGAGCAACATTGTTGCAACATGGCCAGCTTGAAGAGTGCCCTTTGGCAGTTGGAAGCTTCCGGCCGGAGACCAGGGCAAGGTGGGTGGGAACCATTGGCACATATTTTTGCAGCACTGGATCTGTCAAAACGAGGTTTGATCTTTGAAACTGATTTTTGAGATGCTGAAGGCGATCAAATGTTCATGGATAGCGAGGATGATTCAAAGGATCAGGCCACGGATACCACTTAGGTTGGAGGCCATCGCTAGTAGGTTGGAGGCCATTGCTATTAGGTTGGAGGCCATTGCAAACAAAAGAAACACATTTTGTTTCTTCTATTATTCTTATCGCGCTCGAGGCGGTGAGGACGTCACCGGAGCTTCCTCCTCTACCACAGCTTGGCTTTTTGAAACCTCAGGCGAGTTGAAAGACGACAAGTCCCCAGATGGACATCATTTTGTAAACCAGTCACAATTGCCGCACCAAAAGAGCTGATAAGGGGATTTGCATTTCTAATGATATTTGTAGGACAAACTATATTGACTGGACTGTTTAGTAAGCTTTGCAGCTTCCAATAGCTTCCAGGTCCTTCAAGGAAGCAATCTCCTCGGGACATTTTGCAGAGTGCGCAGCTTTGCAGCCACCTCCCCTCTCTGTTCCTACAATTCCCTGATGCTCGGCGCGTTGGTGGTGCAGGTGGCAGAAAGTGAGGGCCCTCCCTGCAACGCACTGCAAACTGCAGATCCTTTGCCATCCGAAGCTGTGTGGTGGCCCAGTCTCTCAAATGAGACAGAGCCTGGCAGACGCCTGGTCTTGGTCTTGGACGGGGAAGAATCGCTCTCTACCCAGCAAACAGTGTCGAGCCATGCAATCCCCTCGTCTACTAGAAGTGGCTGAATTGACAGCAGTTGAAAAGAATCATGTAGTTCATTCTCCTCTTTGTGTTTCCTCGTGCTCATGTGCCTCCAGACTCTTTTCGGCATTTGATTCATGGTCACATTTTGTCCCCCTTCCCTTTCTTTCGTTTACAACATTCGAAGAAATTGACTTCATCATAGATCCGACTACTGTAAATCTTTCGACATGGACCTCATTTTCTGATGGGAGATTTGTCCACTGTGACTCTCATTTCCGCGATTTGCGTCCAACATTGAGACAATCTCACGAGTGTCTTTGCAGCTGAAATTCATTGGGACCGGTTTTATTGCGGTCTACAATCTGCAGGCAACCCCATCCAAAAAAAAAGGCCCTTCAGCATTGCCTTTGTTTGAAGTTGATGCCTTGATCCCTGCTACTTCAAGAGGTTTATTGCAGGTTTAAGTTCAATGCCCGCACTGCAGGTCTATTGTCCCTCAATGTAGCCTCACTCACCCATCAAGTCCGTACTTCCACGCAACCTATGTCCTCGACAAATCGCTGCATGCATTTACTGCTGCCATTCTACAACACTGGAGTGGCAATTCATAGAGAGTTGCAAAGAGTCTTTTGGAGGGCAAGTACCGGCGACAAGCTGCCAAGGTACACAGTGCCAGGCAACCTGCAAATCCTCAGTTGGTTTTCGCACTGAAGCCTCCACAACTATCGCTTCTTCAGCGTTATCTTTCCATTCAGGACCCTGAACATCCTGGAAAAACCTATTGAGCAGACCTGTTTTTTTGACTGGTGAAGGATGGAGAAGCTGTGCAACAAGATGCCAAGAGCCCACGGCAGCTGCAAGTTCGTGCGGAGAGGCAGAACCTGATTGATCCTCACAGAATTGGAGTCCTAGATCTTGTCAGCTTGAAATTGTGTCAGAGAATGAATCAGGCAAGGGCACTGAAGGGTGCTTTGATACAGTATAAGCAGACGCTGTAAGGGATTGGCCAGCCTGTTCTCAAGAATCTTTTAAACACGGCCTTTTATGCGATTTGCTTAGCAGAGTTGAAGCTTGAAGGTCGCATGCGAGCAGCGCCAATGCTGCTGTCCAAACAGCAGTAGTGAACTCTTTCAAAAAGCGTTCAGAAGCAAGGAGTCTTTCACCACCAACAGCGTCGAGCCCTCAGCCCAAGTCGGCGCGAATGAATGCTGCTAGAAAAGAACCAGTCAAGTGAAGTTGCTTTGTTTTTTTATTCAACTAGTTATATAACAGGATTTGTTCTTGCTCATTTTGCCGCTGGTTGGCATGCATGTTGATCTTTCCGGCTTGGGAGGCCAGTCAAGGATTCCCTTCAAAGTTCATCCTGCCGTAGACTCCAGGCAAGGCAGTCAAACCAATCTGTTTTAACTTAAAATTTGTTGATTCTCTCGGAGTTTCATATATATATATACTGTATATAAGTATTGTTTTCTGTTTTTTTTTTTTTTTAAGCTTTGCTGCCCAATTGAGCGAGGGAGCGAACGAGAGAGAATTGTGCTTGGAAGGCAAGTCCTGGGTACGCATCCAAAGTCGGGCATGGCACTAAGATGACTCAGAAGACAGGGCTTCTGCCGTGTTAAACAAGCCTTCTAGGCTTTGGTCTCGTGGCAATCTGTGAATTGCTTGAGAAACTGTGGCAAAACAGTGCAACATAGCTATCAAGGAACATTTTGGAGGCAAGTGTGAAAGATCAATACGCGCACTTGTGCGAGTCAAGGGAACCCCAGAGACTTCGCTTGGGAAGATGGACACGGACTCAGCCACAGGCAGAAATAGACGTGAACTCGGGGGCAGCGCAATTGTTGCTTCTTTCCATTTTCTTTGCCGTGCCGGCTTGAATCGTTCGGCACTGGTGGAGGTTTTGGCCCGCCAACCATGTGCCATCAGAACTTCGCTTTAGTTTTCTGTTTTGATCAAGTGTGAAAGCCAAGAGCCCCCAGCACAAAGTATCCAGCGGGAGCGTAGGGCGGCCCAATTATGCCCTGATCCCACAAGAGATCCTTGCTTTCATAGATTTTTCAAGCGACTTCGCGAGCTGACTTTTTCCTCGTGATGCCCATCGTCCCCACGAACTGCGACACATGTCGGCCGGCTTGCACACGCGAAGGTGCCTAGTGTATATTAGTTTTATATATTCAAATGACAAATCCGACAAAACTTCGGTACATGTACATTGTCATGAGCCGCCTCAATAAGTATTTCTGAATTCTTGCAAAACCGATAGGGGCCAACCCTATACCAATGCCCTTTCTTGATTGAACGTAGCTTATTGCCTGCATTCCGGAAACCCATAGGGGGCATTGGCGACACCAAGAAGTTTGGTCCGCCGCTCACATTTGTATGCAGGGTATTGGAGGGGGGAGGGGGGGGCGTACCATATATAACAATATATACATATAAATCAATAAGGACAGACCTATATATCACGAAAGCTAGCGAAGCTAGCTGGAGTTACTCTTGCGATAGCAAGGTTTCTTTCGACCGGGTGCAAATCCTAACCCCTGATTTTTCAGGTCGAAGACCCCCCCCGTATCTTGCGGCCGCACTCGCTCACTCTCACTCTCACTGTCTCACTGTCTCACTGTCTCACTGTCTCACTGTCTCACTGTCTCACTGTCTCACTGTCTCACTGTCTCACTGTCTCTCTCTCTCTCATCTCTCTCATCTCTCTCATCTCTTTCTCATCTCTCTCATCTCTCTCTCCTCTCTCTCTCTCTCTCCTCTCTGTCTCTCGTCTTTCCGTCTCTCTTCTCTCTCTTCTCTCGCAGGAGGATCCGGGCAAAGAGCCACATATAAAGGACTCTTCACCCCTGCCTCCAAAAAGAGCGCCGTGTTTTTTCCTACCTCGCTGCCCTCCACTTTCCCATTCTGGAGCGCTAGCTTTCGCCCCCCCCCCTTGGCCTCAAGTATATATATACACTGTGTATATATATACATACACATAGCGATATCTATGAGGTCTTTACTTCAAATAAGAATAAACTGGCTGTGCACGCTGTTGCGACAGGGCAGTCGGTTGACACACAAACGGTCGAACCGGTTTTGATCCCAGAGGGGATTTTGCATCGTTCCCCAGCGGTGCGGTCGCCGGGGTTGCTTCGGCGCCTTCGGTTCGGAAGGCGGAACCACTAACACCTCCGCAGAGGGTCTGGCGCTTGATTCGTGATGAATCTTGAATAATACTGAATATGTATATGTAGCTGTGTATGATATGTAATCATTCTGTGGCATGATAAAGTTTGCTCTCGTTGAGGCCAGGCGGAGTTTTTCAAAAACCCGCAGTATGTCTTCTGAGCGTTTGACGAGGATTGGCTGTGAAGACCAGTGCACAGCCAGGGGCTTTGTTACATTTTTTGGTGGCAATTCTTTGGGCCCAGGACTTTCGATGTGCCCTCGGAGCCTTTGCAGCTTGCATGAAAACAGTCAGAAGGCCGACTGAACATGTTTGCTGTAAATCGCCGAGGCTGGGCTCACCTCTTCCAACTGCAAGCTCAGCAAGGCTGGGACGCCAAGTGGGAGCCGATGCCATCAACGAGACGTGAGAGCGCTGGACTGACTTTCCTGTCGTCTACACATACATATGTATAAATACTCGCTAAACAATCAAATCTTGTTGGTGTCGTTTGACGGGCTTTTGCTATCTTTTGCTGCCTTCCTGTTGCATTGTGCAGTTGGCATTCGCTCACCTTGCAGGCAGATAAGGAACAGCCGAGGCTGGGGGAATGCTTTTTCGGATGTGTGCCTGTGCCTGGCTTTCGCTTTTCACGAGCGCCCTCGTAAGGACCATTGGAGAGTCTGATCCATTGGCCCCTTCGACTGGACAGTTACTACGCAGTTGCCTCATTTTGAGTCACTTGAGAAGCCTTTGAAATGTTCAAAGCCAGGCTCCACATATGTTTGACGTCATTGACTCGCTGGAATCCTCCGGTGGGGGAGAGGTGCTTAGAACGGCTATTCTTCGGTTCTTCGGCGTTGTACTAGCCTTTTCGGCTTGTGACCTTCCACCTTTCTTTTGAGAATTCTTGTCACATCCTTGCAGACATCTTCCGCACCTCCGTCAATATCAGAGGAGTCCCATGCCATCACTGACCCGCGCGCATTGATTTGTTCTCTCTTTGCAGGAGCTGCGGCGCTTGCAGCAAGAGCTCGTTTCCATCGAGAAGAAGGTATCTCAAGGCGAGGGTAGAGACGACACACCAACTCCTCAAAGCCCCGAAGACCGCGATTTGCCTTCTAACCGCGATTTGGACGAGAACCATCGCCGCCAACATGTCGATGTTGACATGTCGCTGTCATGACAGAATGGTTAGATCAATGAGGGTTTGAACTCCTGTGAGTCCACGAAGCTATGTTGCGAACTGCGGTGTTTCGAAACGGAGCGGTGACCTGTGATTTGGTGATTTGACATGTGGTGAAGTGTTTTGACACCATGCAGTGTTGTGAAGTGTAAATTGGTGAGCTGTGGTGTGATGTTTGGAGTCTAGAGTTGTGAAGTGGAATGTGAAGTCGTTTGTGGAATAGCCCTCCAATAGCAATCAGCCTCTCCCACTCTAGGCTGCGTTGCCTCCACCCGATGCTGGCCTTAAGTTCACTATTCCCACCCTATCCTGCTTTATTCCCCTATGAGTGATTTGACCAACCTGGCCTAATTCAACAAAGGAGCTGCACAAGCCTTCAGCTTCACTCAAACTCGTTCTTTGATATCCGAACGGGAACTGCGAACCATCACAGAAGAAACAAACAGCATTTGCAGGAGTTGTTTGTTGCGCAGTGGTCTTGATAACTGAGTAACGATCTGAACTCAGGAGACAGGAACTTAAGAAAAGGTAACTCGGTACTTAGATTGACAATTCGAGTGGCTATTCTCAGGTGCTATTCTCCTCTGCTTGCCTGTCAGAATCCCTTTAAACAGACAGGGCCGCTCTCGGCGGCCATAGGCCCATGGATGCGAAGCTGGGTCCGCCTCACTGTTTGTATTCACCTTATATAGGCATTTTTGAGTTTGCTGGTTTGCTGGTTTGCTGGTGGGCGTTTTCTGCTGTGCTGGTATAGATAATTGTAATTTCTCAATACACGAGTATCAGTCGTTGATAGTGTGCTCTCAACTTCACTCAATGTGATCCCCCTTCACAGCCCGCCTTCCAACGGGTCACAAAAGTATGCAGTAGACGCTGGCAGTAGATTGATAAGACCCTAAACTCTCCCATGACACTTATTCAAGCCATGACTTGATCTTGAATGTGCGTGGGTGGGTCACCATCAAACCGCTCTTTAGGCACAAATGCATTGAAAAGCTTTAAGAGATTTGAGTTGACAGAGGCCCAACAGCGGGCTCAGTGCGGGGCCGCGTGGTCAAAGAACAGGCCTTTGCATTCGCTTGTGGGACTTTGTTGCAGGGCAGTTCTTGTGGGACTTTGCATGAAAAAGAGCACCATGCTGAAGGCTCGGGGCGAGCCATTTGACCCCGATTGGCGTCCATTGGAGGCTTGTGAAATCGGACATCGCACATCCACGTGGCATCGCATTCAATGCTTTGCATGTGCCAGACTCTGCACAACATCAGCTTCAACTGCCTGGGAGAGACTCCAGGTCTTGCAGACAGCCCGCTAGAGGCAAGGGTTGAAGCTTGAACACCTTATCCAAAATGCCTTTTGTTCCTTTTTCTCCCACGTACATTGTGCTTGTATCTTCTGTCACTGATACTGTAAACATCCTCATTGGCATGCTGAAGGATACACCGAGAGCACAAGACACAACATGGTTTTAGCAGAAGCATTAACACAGATGGCACTTAAACATCCTCGCAATGTTCACCTTGGGCAAGTGTCCACTGGGAGCAGATGCAAGTCTTGTTTACTTTGTTTTTTGCTTTTCAGGAGTCCCAGGAGTTGTCCGAGATTGATGATGTTCTGCAGCTGCTTCGACACGTGAAACCCACATGACCAACGGCCAATGCCAGAAGTCTTCTTCGGACCCAAAGGAGCCCCGTCGGGGCCAACGTTCAGCCAATGCCAGCGAGGCACTTTGGCGCACATGGAAGAATGGAAGAAGCTGGGCTTCAGCAGTCCAGTTGAAGCCCTCGCCTTCAGTGCCAAAGCAGCACCGAAGGTTTGCAGCGAAGTGAACAGATCACACGCCATTGTCAGCTGCAGTGTGTGAAGAAAAGCATTGAAAGAACTGCTTGAATTACGGAGGTGCTAGTGCTAGCTGTCAACAACTCACCATTGTGCTAAGCGCTATTCAGAAGGGAGATGGGCTTGAAAGGAATCATCAAGCCGCGAAGCAGAGATTGAGAAGCTCGACGAACGGTCCGTTGCCTGGAATTTTCGAGCCAGTTTGATGCTTGCCTCAAGAACTGGCTGAGGTTTGGTATGAAAAAGGTATCACGAAGAGGGCAACTTCTTGCAACCTGGGAGGCTGGCTGCGGTTCAATTGAGCACATGAGCGTGATGTAACGAATCAGATGTAACCTCAGGTCGACGGCAAGAGCTGTTTTGAGGGGGCTGGTCAACCACATTTGGTGCATGAGACTCTTTAGAGCTAGTATGACTGTGTCGGCAAGGCACAGCCGGCAGACGCTGGCATTGGACGAAAAGATATTTGGGCCTGATCGTGACATCGTGCTTTCATTTCAAGGGTTGGGCCCCCTGCAATTGGCTGCCATCTATCGATACATTTGTGGAAGTTTCAGGGGAAGTTCCGAGTTACAAAAAGTTGTGGACAAGTCTGTCATGTGGGTGAGCGCGCGGAAAGGGGTGAATTTCTAGTTTCGGCGTGGCGCGCTGAGTTTGGAGGGTTCTAGAGTCTAGAGAAAACTATCGTACAGAGAAGAATAGACATCTCCACCTTGGGATACATTTCTTTAGAAATCTCTACCTTTGTATACTTTCTTGATCTATCTAGAAGTCCATACCCTACTTTTCTCAAATGTACTTGTCACTACTTTTGCGCAGAAGCCTCCACTTTTTTGATGCTCTGAGTGTTAGAAGAAGTTGACATGAGGCTCAAAAAGAAGGCCGTTTCGAGGAATTTCCAAAGATTCAACAGATGCTTCTGGAGCTGAACAAGACAAGTTTTTTAAAAGTGGAGATTTCTACAGAACAGTACCAAAAAGTAAAGCTTTCTGGGGAAACGTGTCCAATATATCTTGGAGCTTCCGCAAACCGCCACTGCGGGGATTGGCTTTGTGTTTGAATTTGTTCGCCAAGCTCATGTTTGTTTGCCTTGACTCACTTTTCATGTTTTCATGTCACTTTTTCCTTCCCTCGGTCTCCTTTAGTCTCTACCAAGTGGTGAGCTCTCAACAAAAGGATGGATGCGTCCGTGCCAGAGGGTCTTCGCACCAACGGCTTTTCTGGGTCTGACAAACCGTAACGGTCAGGCAATTCTGACAGACCAACGTTGAGCTGAAAGAGCTGGTCACAGGTCTGTGAGACCAGATTACGGCGGATTGAGAGTAGATGGCACAGACCCCAATGTCGGTGGTTTATATGGAATCCCATCTAAAAGACATGTTGGGGATTGTGCCATCTACTCTAAAACCACTGTAGCTGAAATTTGTGGAGGCCAGCCATGCACCAATGAGCGGCGGTTTTTTTCCGACTGTACCGTAGCTCCTGTCATTTCAGCAACACAGCAACGAAAGGAGACCAAAAGGAACAGATGCCGTTGTGATGCCGTTCACCGAGCACATTCAAGCCGGCGATGTTTTTCAGAGTGAAGCATCACCGAACGTAGAGGGCTTACCGAACGTTGATGGGGGTGGATGTTGCGCTTACTACCCTTGAACTGGAAACAAGTGACCCCTTCATGGGCGGGAGCTCCTTTGCACGCAAGCTTTTTCGCTTTTTCTCTCCCTGTCAGCACGCCACTTTAACATCCTAGAATTCACAACGTGAAACGGCTACCACCACGTGGACAGCACGTGACGTGGAGATGCCCGGGTTTTCGTACGTTTCTTGGATTGCATCAAGTTTTTGACACTACTCTTTTGTTCAGTGAAGCCTGCAAGAATCATGCAATTTACAACTTCCTAGGTTGCCATCCCTCCCGGCAGCGAAGACATGCGACAGGCTCCAAACATGCACAAAAAGTATTGGAGAGGAATTGGAGAGGAATTGTTGCTTGCAGGTATATTTTCCATTCCCTGTGTCGCAACTGAATGACCTCGACTTCATCAGGGCCTTAAGAGGGGAACTTGGCAAGGAGGCTGGAGATGCAGGGTAATAGGTCGAGCCGGGATTTACCCCTTTTTGCTTTTCTGACTTCAGGCCTTTGCCATCGAGGGCCTGAGGTCCAAGCTCCTGGAGGAAGTTTCTTCCAATTTGGGAAAGACTTTGAAAGAAACGAGTTTCCGACCAAGCTCAGAAAGATAGACTCATGGAGGGTGTGACTTGTGGAGAATCATGCCATCCAAGTACTATCTTGGGGCAAAACCGTTTTGGCGGAAACCACAGCGGGCGGAATGGCGAAAGGAGCTGGCGACTTCTTCCACGACGAGAAGTGAGCTCCTGAGAATACAAGGAGGGATTGGGAGGTGGAGGCCATTCATCATGCGATGACGGCAAGTGAGCTGATTGAGAGATTCATTGAGCTCATTGAAACCAGACAAACCACGCCAAATCCATACCAATTCCTTGACTCTTGTCGTGAGATGTGCTTCTGAGGCTGTGGTGTTGTGAGGGACTCAGCTTACTCAGCTTCCAGAGCAGGATAAAGCTGTGGTGTAGTCTTCTGAGGCCAAAGCCAATGGAGAAAAGGAGATTGTGTTTCACGCGTGCCACACGGTGCGATGCCGTGCGGTGCAACGTGGTGTGATAGGATGTTTTCCTTGACTCGCTAGGAGAAAGTCAGGGAGAATTTGCAGAAGATCGACGATGAGCACCTTGAATTGCTCATGTCAATGGAAGCTTTCCAGGCTGGTGTGGGTCAAGGTGCAAGGTGAGCGTTTGAGGGCTAAACAGAGTTTCGCCAGGTAGAGATGCTCCGAGATCCTTCCAAAGATGTTGGTAGAAAGGACCGGATTGGTTTGCGATCATTTGCTCACTTGTGGTGAATCTTGAAGTCCTGCAAGGGTGTTTTCCTTTATCATGAAGGTAGAGCGGACGGCCCTGTCCCGTGCTTAATGGCAAATGGTTCTTGTGGGTGTTCTTTTGAATTGAACAAGTAAGTTGCTGAGCCAAGGTGAACGACAGGGCCTGTCGCTGAGAGGATGATCCACTATGTCAATCCTTATAACTTACATATATAATCATATATATATATATAGATCAAACCAAGACCATCTTGAACGAGAAGACTCCACTTGAGAAGAGCGAAAAAACTTTACACTCAAATTGCAGCTTTCTCAGGCTATGAACCTGTGCCTTGCAGCCGGCTTCCCTCCAAAGGACAAGCAATTCAACCGAAAGCTTTTGACAAGAGCCTTTGGCTGCAGGAATTGCGAGGCACGTGCTTCCTCTCGCGGACGGAGGCATGGGATGTGGATACCGTGGGCTAAAGTTAAAGAATCGATACGAAGAGCAATTTTGGGTGCACAGCACGGGATCGGGATCTTCAAAGGAATTTGTGGAGCGAGACTCTGTGGATCCGATTTGGAGACGTTCTGCTCTCAGCGCTTGATGACTTTGTCTCAGGGTTGGTGATCTCCTTCCTGTGCTAGTTTGGGGCGAACTTCTGAAGCTCAGGTTGTGACTTCACTCTCAAAGATTGCAGCAATGATGCCGAGTGGCTGAAGGACAGATCCGAGTGGCGTACCCTGCGCGTCGCTTCAGCGACCTGATGAAATCCTTCAAGGATGCGCGTCGAGATCGTGAAGAGCGCGACCCTGATTCCAGCAGACCGAAGAACACAATTCTTTCACAGAGTTTGTAGTTCTCCTATCTTCTAAAGACCGAAATCTTGATGCTTCTGATGAAAAGACAGTGGCTTTGAAAAAACCCAAGGTCTGGCTTGAAGCAGAAGGAGGATGCAGAGTGGTTTACGTCCAAGTTATTCTTGACAGATATGTATTTGTCCTTGAATATCCTTTGACAATCCTTTATGTGATGGTTGAATCATTGAGATTGACTTTCACATTCAGGTTTTCATCATTGGAGGATTGCCAAGCCCCAATGGCAGAAGGCAAGTCTGACCTGTATGCCGGGCAGCCAAAATGGCCAACAAAACCATCACGAGTCCTGCGCTGAGCACCAGTCTTGCAAAATGGTGCCGAAAAACGAGCGAGGCCTGGAAGCAAACCGAGGAGGAGGTTGACATTGTCTTTGATCCAGGCCTTGACGCTTTCTGTCAAAAGTGAAGCAAGACAAGAAAGCATGCTTTCAGGGCCATTTGCTGGCATTCGGGCCACGAAGAAGGACATTGCGGTGAAGTTTTCCAGAAGGACGTGCGAGCTGTCGTGGCACTCATTTTACATCACATTCTGCTTGTTTCTCGGTGGGAAGATTCTTTCAGTCCCATGAATTCTTCACATGTTTAGCTACATTTACTGAGACACTTGCAAGCTGCCAAGAGATACTCGCCGATGGCAGCCACCAGCTTCATTACTCTGACACCCAACCTGGCCAAGCTTGAACATGTTGGAACCAATACAGCAGTTTACATTAGGAGCAATTTGCGTTGCCAAACGTAGACAAAGCTGCTTGAAAGCAGGGGTTCATGCATCGCACTTTTCCCCCCCGCAGGAGCCTGTTTGTGAGGTTGCGTGGGCGCATACTTTGCCCGGACGTTGAATTGGCTGCTGAGGCCCCGGACGATGGCATTCATCATGGGACATTTGGACAATGAAATGAGCTCCTAGTCCTTGCTCCTAGTAGTAAGGCCAGGAGTCCCTAGTAGCTTCTTCTCCTAGTAGCGATGCCAGGAGCCCCTAGTAGCGTCCTTGCTCCTAG